TAAACTTAATTATAATTAACTTTGATAAAATCATTATTTTTAGATATAAAACCATAAAGAAAATTACAGCGAAATATTAATATAATTTTTAATTATTATATTTAAAGTTTTCATATAAAAATAATTTTAGAATAATTAAAAATTTCAATATTTCATAATTATTATTTATTTATTCCTGCATGAACTGCATATTATTTAATAATTTCTATGGTAATCTATGTCAGAAAGTCCTACATATCAATTATTAAGGCAAGGATCAAGAGCACTTAGCAAATAAATTACTGTGATAAAAATATTCTAAATTGTTTAGTGTGACTTATAAGTGATTATACTCCTGCTCTACTTTTACTTATACTAAAAGTAAAGAGTTAATGGGTATTAATGGAGTATACAGTATATGATATTATAATTAATTGTCCAGTATACATCTCCTGATTATTATAGCACAGTTGAATACGGCGCCATGTTAGCATGATATCTTGCGCAAGTTGAGTGAACAGTTATCAGTGGTTGTTACCTTTAACTCTTTTGTTTTTGCATGTCTCCTGGTATGTATTTATCATTAACAACAGAAAGAACAAAATAATAATTAATAATAAAGAATAAGGTGATATAAGGAACATAAATTACAGGACAGCCTATAAGAGTTGTCATGATGTGATTAATTTAAACTAAATTATAAGAATTAGAATTTTAGTTTTGTAATTCTCCTAATGATGATTAAGTTATTCAATATTATAGAGGATAAACTAATCATCAGGATGTAGGTAATCCTACAGCATTTTCTTCTTTTCCAACTTTCTACATCATCATGAATGTTACGTATTAATTAAGATGACACGCTATTATCATCATTAAATTAATTTAAGGCGCATATTTTATTAAATTTATCATTAAGGTAATGATAATTTGATATAATAAAACTTAAAATAACGATTTAGGAATCTTTTTAAGTGTCAAGAATAAGATGTGCTACGCTAATTAAGGGATGGATGCTGTAGAGTAGTTTTGACACTAGACTGAAACGTTCTCTTCTAAATTATACTAAAAGAAGTTATTTAAAAATTTATTTATAATCTAAACAAATAGCTCAAACAATATATTTCCTATTTAACACAGGGGTTTATAAATAAATTATATATTAATGCGTATATTAAGTTGCATAGATTAATTTTTTATGATTTTTAAGTATTAAATTATTCAAGAAATTATACCAGATAAAAATGTTATTTTATATTAAAACCTTATTTTTATTACAAAAGAATTTAATTTGATGGTAGGTGTTTCAAATTATTTCCATTTTCGATGATTTCTCTCTCTGTTTTACATTCCTTTCTCTTCTTAATTAAACCTTTAATTTCCATTGACTAATGTTTTTCACTTCTGTACAACAATTCTTTTTTTAATTGTATGATAATTTAAGTTAATTTTGTATTCAACAGTACTTTTACTCCATTCATTTTTTTTATATGAAGTAGGAAGAAAAAAAATTCACTAGTTGGTTGATGTAGTTTCTTTCAACATTATATAATACTTTCACTCCACACAGGTTAATATATAAAGCTTCAGGCTGATAGCATTATTCCAGCAGCTTTCCATCTTTATCGGTAACAGGTTCGAGCTGAGATATATAGACGAATGGATTCCGATCGAGAATCGATCGAAAATTTTATGACAGAAGCTTCTCTGAAGCTACTTGCATGTACAGATACACTGACAAGAGTATATAACTGTATCTTTTGGATCCAAGATGTATTTTTTTCATTCATTTTCTCTCATTTAAAATGATCTGAATATAGGGTATAATTTCTGTAGTATTTAGTTAACTGTTTATTATACTTTTATGGGGTTTAATCGAATCAGTTTTGTATAAATTTATATAAAAATACCCTTAAGTATACTTTGGTCATGTTAATTTTAACATGTTTTATGATCAATGATGCCACTCGTTTAATTGTTTTACAAATAAAAATAAACTGTATAATTTCTTTATATTTGAAAATAATAAAATACAGGATGGCCTAAAAGTCAATACATTCCTATGTAAACGATAAATTACTGTCTTATTCAAATAATATTAATTAAAGTTATGAAGGGTATATATAATTCTACATATCTTTTAAAACTTGAAAATATATAGATTTAATTATGTTGTGTATAATACTGTATACAGTTATTTACCGAAAGTTTTATGAATTTAGTAATTTATATAATTCTGTAAAAATGCTTACATTATTTAACAGAGAATTTATGAAGTTATATTAACAGGGAGTAGACACTATTGCTTTTGTTTCGTGTGTTCTAGGTATACTTGTTAATATGTACAGTAAATTAAATTTGTTAAAGCATTTTAAAGTTTGTGTATTGAACAAGAGAAGCATCTCAAAGTCGTTGAATGATTTTTGGGCCTTTCTACATATTAATGTACTACTGTACATCTAATTGCAACTTTAGGAGTTAGATTTAACATAGCGTAAAACTGACAATAATATTTCAACGTGAGCATTGCTTGACATAAATTTTAAAATGTATTTTGAATATCAATCCTTGCAATTTCAATCAATCTGCATTTATAATTTGTCATTCGAAGCACGTTTCGTAACGCTGCCAAGTTTCTTGTGACTTACTTTTTTCTTAGAAGAAACCACAATTGATAAGACAAGTAACATGGTACTTGTCTTATCTATTGTGTCATTATATAAATTTTCTTTTTGCTTCCTTTTAAAGATCATTCTAAAGAATATCTCATATTTTTAAGATAATATATTAAACGTTTCTTTAATATAATGCGCTAAATTATCAAACAGTTGTAATTTGCGTTATAAAATACATTTTCTCTGTATATATTTATATAAATAGTTTTATATTATTCAATAAAATGTAATAAATCGATTACATTTATAACCCGTTGAACGTTAAATTAATTTACATTATTACAAAAAGATTCAAATCAATTCTAAGATGATGATTATTGTTATTGAAATCTTTTATTAAAAAACTTAATTTTTTCGTAGTTTATTATATATTGAATATATATATTTTTAGTAGAATAAAACAGTATTTAAGTCTCTTACCAAGATTCCAACAGTCACATTATTAAACTAAGGTTGCCTTGACGTTCATAGTAGAGCACAATGCATCAACCCCCACTGAAATGATGATGATGAGGCATTGACGTGAGGTAGCAGCTCATCAGAGAATCGAGAAGCAACCAAAACAAACTTTAATACAATACTTTCAATTACAATTACGATTAATTTTAAAGAATAATCGTCAACGTCAAAATAAACATTTCTTATATACATACATTTTGCATACATGTCACAGTCTTATTTAAAAATGATCACGCACGAATATACTCTGTTATACTATAGGCTAAGGATTTCCAACATGGATGATTTAGATCCCCTGGAGTCAATGGATTTCTGGAAAGTGGTCAATGGGGGGTCGAATAAAAACATCAGATACTTATTTTACTTTTTCTAGAAGTTTAGATTATTTTCAAATTCATTATCAAATTCATTTTCAAATTCAAATTCGTGGGAAATTCATTAAATGATTTAATAGTTTACTCAATGCATTATGCAAAATCTTGGGAAATAATATAAACATTTTAACGGGTCGCTCAAAATAATATTTTCTATATGAAGGTCAATGCAAGAAAAGGTTGGGAACCCCTGCTATACACCCATATTTATTAATAAGTTCTTTAAGATATAAAATAATTAAGAGGAATGATATGAAAAAGTACAGTATACAATAACTTCAACTTCAACTCCCTACGTAGAAAATATTAATTTTTCTTTAATTTAAATATATAAAGATGTATACAATTAAATGATATTTAATTAAAATTATCTTATTACTTACTTATTTATTTTTTCAGTATAAAATTTATAATAATAATTTTTTCATGACATTCTACTTCTCATTCGCTTCATAATTCATTACATATGAAACTTATTATAAATATAAATATCTCCACTTTCAATTCTTAAATTTAAAATATTGAATATAATAGATATTTTAAACTTAATAATAATTCTGAATAAAAGTAAAAAAATGTAACAGATAATTGATTTGACAGATAAGAAAAACTTTCTCGCATATTTAATAAAATTTAATAGAATTCAGCAAAAATTAATCGTGTGCAAACTAAACATAATTAATACCTAAAATAAATTATCAAATTTTAAGTTTAACATGTATTTAATAGATTATATTTGAGTTAAAGTAAAACTTAAAAGTTCTTCAGAAAAGTGTATTGTACTACAAACCACCTTCATCTAAGTCACTTCTATATGAAGTAATAAAGTAAATTATGCCAATTATTCCCAGATTATTTATGATTACGTTTTATAAATTAATATTATAATTTAAAACTCTCTTTTAAATTCATCCGCGAATTATAACTCTTTATATAATGGCATATTTTTCCATAAGATTATAAATTATCTGTTAAGAAAGTTAATTGTAATAAATGGAGTTGTGAAAAAAATTACATTTAAAATTTAGTAATTAAGCATTTTAATATTGTATTTTAAATTAATTTTGATATCAGGACGTAAAATTCTCAGGCAATTTTTTGCAAGAGTACAATAGAAGTGGAAATCCACTTTACGAACTTCCCACAACTATAAAATTTTATGAACATGGATAAAAATCATGAACATAGTAAACTTTGTCACATATGCAAAAGTACTCTCAAGTTCTCGTATGAAGAACTCATACTTGAACTCATTTTATATTATTAATGAATAGAATAAATTTAATTTCTTCATTTTTATCTTAATTCTTCATTATCCCATTTCTAAATTCAATATTCTAGGAAATCCGAGTCAAACTTTAGTAACAGAGTACAGTAACTGTATCCATACCGATGGATAGAACGAGTTTACTTTCATCATTTCTTATCATAATTTTATATTATTATTGCTCTAAATTTAATATTATTAAACGCCAGTAAATACTGTACAGGATAAATTTCTCTTTGTTTACAGGATACTCTTCGTGATAACTGTGACTCATCGAGTGACTGTATAAGAAATTGTTGCGTATCCCCGATCATTGCACCTTTGTACTTTGTTATCTTCGTTCTGATGGCTCAATTTGTTTTGGTAAACGTCGTAGTGGCCGTTCTAATGAAACATCTGGAAGAATCGCACAAACAGATGGACGATGATCTAGAAATGGATGTAGAAATTGAAAGAGAATTGGCAGCTGAAGCCGAAGCGAGACATAGAAAAGTAGAAATGTTTTTTTTTTTATGTTTAATAATGTTAAATGTTTAAAAAAAATTTTTAAATTTTATATTTTTCTCCTGAAATTTAGGCAGCGCGAGTGAGACAAAAAGAGAGAGGAATGCCACATCGCACATTAGTGAAAATGTCTTCTCTACCAGCCAATTTTACATTTACTTTTCAAGAAGACACGGTTGAACCGTCTTTGTTATCAGGTAATGCTAATTTTCTTTAAATTTCTACAAAATTTACTGATTTATTTACATACAATAATTAATAACATACGTTATTAAATTCGTATGTAATTAATTAAATGATATTCGCGAGCATTCTCCAAATTCTAGACTTATTTTCATTATAAGCTGGAAAGTAAGCATTATTATTTCTGTTTTCTTAAGATATTATTTATCACAGAATAAAGTGAGATAATTTCACGAATTTCGCTTTATTTTATAGCGGTTTCTATATAGATTCTCATTCTACAATAAGGGAATTTACAATAAGGGAATTTTACCTTTATCTTTAATGCTGTATTGTTCTTATAGAATAAGGAGAAATTCGTATTTTTATAAATTTCTTTACATTTTGCAATATAAATATAAAATATACAATTTTATTTTTATAAAAATATTTTTAATGATAAATTTTATACATTTTATAATAAAAAAACATTAAATTCATTATGGATATTTTCGAAATTAGAAGAAAATTTTACATTCTTACGCTCGGTTTCAATTCCTTATTCCTTTCTCACGTTCTTCAGTTTGTTTATCCGCTTTTTTACAGTAAAATTTATAACAATTGTCCGACTAAACCGGAATCAAATATATTTTATCTGTCTGATTTCTAGCTTTTTCTTTGAGTAGATATGCAGTTTACAGACTAAATTTTATATAAATCACTTGTCTAGTCTACTGAAAGTAAACTAAATTTTCACAGTAAATTAACTTTCAATTAAGCTCCATATGTTTCGTAAACAAATAAATTATTTATAATTTTAAGAGCATCTTTATTACTATTTATACTTTCGATTCTATATTTTAATTATTCATCAAGTACTGTATAAACGATTTTTATCGATACAATAATAAATATTTTTACACAGCCTTGTATTTCAAACTTGGCAATTTTTAGTATTGTATTCTAAGTGTTGTTTAATTTCTTTCAGAGAATCTTAATTTAGAATCTTCCTATTATTAAAACTGTCAAGTGACTTGAAATATTTTAAAGTAAATTTACAGATTTTCATGAAATATATTTAACGTGGATTTTTGAAGAATTCAATGTTATAATCACATAATTAATTACATAATTAGAAAAAATCTCTCTTTCAATTGATTATTTGGTGTTTTTACACCTCTGCAGTCTTTGTGTGACAATTTTTGTAATTTTGTTTTCTTAGAATTTTGCTTTCTAATGCATCTAGTTTGTGATTTTTGAAGCAACTGTTAGAATTTGTGAATATTTTATTCTCTACTCAATTTTCGCCACTTAGTGTTGTTTGAAATAGGAGAAACTTTATCAGTTTCCTATATTACCTAAAGGCACTGGTTGCTGAACTCACCAGAAGCTTAACGTGGGCGTGATTACCTTTCATCGCCATATTGGATTCTGATGCTTTTTTGTTAGCTTAACAGCATATTATAAATTAAGCAAAAGCAGGAATGGGAAGCTAGATATATGTGGTTTACACATATAATGATTAAATTTAACAATTTAAAATAAAAACATACTTACCCTCCGTTAAAATTTGCGAAATTTTCTAACAGATCACCTCAAAAACAACTCACGAATGAAGAAAAGAAACTACTACTAATGGCGATCAGCATGTAAATATGGATTTATAATGACATTTGCTACCTGACCATGACAATCACACATTTATAATTCCATGTTTCGAGATACTTAAATGAGAAGAATTGCACTCTGAGCGATATTGCCCAACATTCTCCTATATTGTTATTATGTTGGGTTTAGTGGGTTATACTCGATTGACACCCGTGGATGTGTACTATGCCGGACCAGAGTCAAGGCACAGCAACCAAAACAAGACAAAAATTAAATAAGTGTGTCAGTGTGTGTGTCTGTATTCAGGAATTCCCTAACAATATGGTATGTATTCAATATAGTGGCCTTCTGTAGTGTAATGTATGTGTTTCTATTCAATTGTAATGTGCCCAGGCTTTTGTGTAGTGTGTTTTGTGTACCTGTAGAGGAGAGAACGACAGGTACAATAGGCACCTTATCCATCCTCCACAGATACATTATTTCCTGGAGAGTTCTGTGTACTTGCTGATTTTTTCAGTGTGTTTTGTACATTGTGAGCGATGTCTGGTCTGTTATGGTAAATTGTTTTATCTGTGATTATGACTCTGTCTGTGTATTACGACAGAGTATTAATCACAGATTCACAGAGTATCATAGAGTATCATAGTAGTTAATCACAGAGTATCATAATCACAGATAATAATCACAGATAATCTGTGATTATGACTCTGTCGTAGTACATTTTGCGCGTGTTGTTTTCCAATACTGTCTGTAGGATGTATTTGTGGAATACTGTAGTTTGTGGATGTCTAATAATTTGTGTTTGTTTGCAAGCTCTATTATATTTGCTACTATTATGTCTATGTAAATAATCTGTCTGTGCCAAGAGCTCGCAACCAGAAGTGATGTATTTTATAGTTTCTGGCATGATGTGACATTTTCTGCATGTGTCATTTGTGAGTGTTGTATCTTTGAGTATGTGTTTGCTGTAGTTTTAGTATTTATGACCTGATCCTGTATGGCAATCACGAATCCTTCCGTCTTCCCAAAGAGGCATCCCCGAGCTAACCAGCTGTTTGACGTAGTTTTGTCGACAAAATCCTGAGCCAGGTCGTAGGGATGCCAGCCATGGAGTGCCTTTTGAACCCACGATTGCTTAATGGTGTCTATGCTTTTTATATGCTGTGTTATGTTCATGTGTTGTAGAATGACTAAATCTATGAGTAACTGTTCTTTGCATCCCCTGTGATTTCTACAGCAACCTTTTATTTGTTCCGTAAGAATGTCGTGTTCTCTAACATGTTTGTATATTTTGTTTGCGATACAGGCTGTCAATTTGTATAGTGTTAGAAGGCATGTGATTGGTCTGTATTGTGTGGGATCTGTGATAGTGTTGTTTTTAGGTTTCATGTAGGTGATGCCCTGAGTAAGAAATTTTGGCATGTCTTGTGGATTGATGATGATGTGTGTTAGGTGTTTAGCTAGTTCCTGGTGCCGTGATGTAACTTTTTTGTACCAGAAATTGTAAATATTGTCTACATCAGGTGTCTTCCAGTTGTATGTTCTGTTAACAGCATATTGGACATTGTGTACGTTTATTGCAGCACAGGGCATAATTGGTATATTGTGCAAGTTTTTGTTTTCCTCCTCGATCCAGCCTGCATCAGCATTGTGTGTGACAGCACTGGATCAAAAAGTTGACAGTTCTTCTTCTGTTGGTGTGCCACTGTGCTGTGTATCAGCGTTTGTTTTGGTAAAAATTTGAGTGTACAGGAGTTTTTCATTGTTCGTAAATAAGTTATTTGGTTGTTTTCATAGCATACATGTTTTGTATCGTTTGGCTGCGAGTTTTTGTTTTATTGTATTCTGTAATGTGTTTGTTGTGATGTTCATGTTTTGTGTGTGTTTTGATTTTCTTGAAAATGTTTTTGAGTTGTTTCTTTAATTTGGGTGTTACGTTGTTTTTAGTGTATTGTGTCAGCCTGCCTAATTGCTGTCTAATGTCAATTATTTGTGTTTTTATTCTTCTCTGCCAGATAGGCTTGTGATGGAATTGTGTTTTGCATGTATCTGTCTGCGATTGTACTTTCATTTCATGGTGTGTCGCTACTGTGGCTGCCCCAGCATAAACTAATGTATGAATGTCTGAGAGTGTAGAAATTAAATGAATGTAGTGTGGTAGTGAGCGTTTACATAATTTAGTGTTTTTCCTACCTTCTTTGACATGTTGATTTTTGGTATTCATGATCTTTGTGTGGAATCTGTACCTGTATATTTAGCGAGTGTTTCCTGAAATATAAATGAGAGCGTATTAACTAAATCTATATCTATATTATCAGTGGTGGATGAGGAAGTGTCTGTAGTATCACTAGTGGTAGTTGTTGTGTGTATGATATAATCAGTGCTTGTTGCTGGATTATCCTGATAGGTTACATGATCTTCATTATTGTTAAGTGTTCCTGTCTGTTGATGTATTTGATCAGCAACCTGTTGTTTGATAAGTTCGAGTGTTGTTTATGGGATAAGGTTTTTGTGTATAATTGTTCTTCTTTGATCGACAACCCTTTGTTCGGTGACAGTGAAGTGAGGATATTATTGTGTGAATCTATGGTGTAGTTGTTGTCTGTACGCTGTCATGTTTTGTTTCTACTCTTGTGATGGTGTAATTAGTACAAATGATAAACTCGTTTATTTCTATTGTCCATTTCATCCGTTGGCGTGGTTTTCCAGCCTTTTTGGTTTATGGTTGCATTGCCACAGAAACACCAAAGCTAGGTTCGTTCTTCACATCTGTTGAGGGCATTGCAGTAATCATGCTTGGGCCAGTGCTGCTTTCGCCACTGGTAACCAAGGGAGACTGTGGCCTATTTTTCGAACGTGAGCCTTTGCCTAATAATAATAAACAATTATTACATTATACTAATAATATTATTATTATTATTAATAAAATGCTGTCATATAATAATAATATTATTGCTGTTATTATATGACAACATTTTTATAAAAGTATAAATAATTTTCAAATAGCATAAAATTATTTGGTTTCTTTTTATTTTCCGAATGTTATATAACTGAGGAAAAGTATGGTAATCGATTAAATAATGACCCTTTGAGACTTTTACATTTTTGCACTCAGCGGACAAACAAATTCGGTTTTTTTTCCTGCATGTATGGATGTTAGTGTGTGTGAGAGTCCGCGATTTTGTTCACCCAATTCGAAGCTTAATAACGCTCGTTTCTTTTGTCGAAAATTTCAGAAATTTTGCAGTATGGTTTCAGTATTAGGGAAAATGTTTCTAGAAATTTTCAGGCAAATCGGACAATTGGCTCGGAAGATATTAAAAGGGTAAGGATCATATCTCCTGATCCAATCTGAAGACTTACAAAGATAATGGCAGCAATTGTTAGGTATGAAAACAAATAAAGACTTCCGGGAAAATCCAGCAAC